CGCTAAGTTCAGAATGGCAATATCAAGAAAAAGGGAAAAGCGAAAATCGGTCGATACGGAAATTAGTCACTACGAAAATTGATCGATGAGAAAAATAGTCGAAATATTCTTAATAAAAAACAAATAAAATAAAAACTTCGAATGCGACGAATCAGTCAAAGCATTACAAGAAGAAAATGGAAGACGCCATTAGTAAAATGCCCATCACCGCAACGGAGTTTTTTTTTTAGTGCATGTAACATATGAACTAGAATTCCTGTTTAAAATTAAAATTGTTAGACTCGTGTATTTTCATGAAATTGTATCGAAATTAATTCTGATAGAACTGTGAAACAGCGAGAAAAGCTTTTCAAGAGTGTAGTGTAATTGTCAGCGTTGGTGCGACTACAGCTGTGAGTGCCAGGGATGGTGTAAATAGTAGTGCGCGATTGGGTTCAAGAGGATCCATCTCAATACCCGCACCCGTTATTTATTTTCATTTTTTTTTCTGCTTAAAATCAACTGTTCTGGAAAGAGATTGGAGTCCACTTTACTTGCACAGAGTACTACAACAAATATATTAAAAGTAACAGTGATAGATTATATACTAACATTAAATTATTTTATACACAGTTGTCGCTCTTGTTGTAAGATTCTTTATTCTTCTTTTTAATTAAGAATATTTCGACTATTTTTCTCATCGATCAATTTTCATAGCGACTAATTTTCGTATCGATCAACTTTCGTAGTGACCAATTTTCTTCGGTCAGTTTTCGTTCGACCAATTTTTGTGGACCCTATTTGAATAATGTGATATTAATTTTTGTTTGTAATAGAAACAGCGTATATATAACTAATGGTAATTAAATAATTGTATTGATTTCTATGTTATATATATAACATATGTTTTATTCCAAACATGAAGAAGAAGACATAGAATAATATGAATGATGAAAAACCGAAACATTGTCAATTTCAAGTTTTTCTATTTAATTTATTGAATCTTCGAGCATAGAATCTCTAAAATCAATTTATTACTATATAGTTACGATCGCATATTATTCATAGAAATATACTTATTTAATAGATATCAATATGCGATGAAAAGAATTTTTTTCATTCATTGTATTCAATCATCATTTTAAGCTAAAAATAAATTTCTGGGCACAGTATTAAAGAACAAAAACAAATATAATTGCAACAGTATAACGATAAAAAATTTGAGAAAATCTCTGTTGAGAAACCAATAGCATTACACATATAAGCTGAACTCCATTTGCAAAGTGTAGCATATTCAAAATCAGGTTTTCCTTATAAATATAAAAGCCAAATTTTATATAACAAAACAATTGGTTTTGTAAAACGAATCATTACCATATACATTCAGTCAGCTCTTTTATTTGTCAAATACTTCATTTAATACACATTTATATCTAATTGCACCTATATACATATCTTTACCCTGTCAGTCTGGGATCAAGTTAATCGAGTCTCGACGAATATTGTTTGTGACTAATTAATGAAATTAACAAAGAAATACATGCTTCTAACTTTTTCATATGCCATCTGTAGTAGTTTACAATGAAAATACCGATCTATTGATATTTTATACGATGATTTTCTTAAGATATACGATATAGAGTAATAGATACGTTAGTAATAAATTCTTATAGTATCCCCTCTGCTACTAAAAAACATTGTTTCGTAATGATCAATATTGAATGTGATATATCATTGTAAAGACTGAAGAAGTTCGTGAATGTAGGAGAAATCCACAATGATGCTCAATTAGTTTTTGTATAAGCTAGTTTTATTTTTTTTTTAAATCAGTTATAACCGTAGACTTTTTTGTGCGTTTTACTGACTTCATCATTGCATGTCGACTAACAAAGAGCGGAAATTTTTAGCAGAACATTATTATTTAAAATTCAAGTACGAAATTCTTCATAGACTAATCTGTTTGCATACGTACTGCGACAGCTTTCATGTTTGAATAATTCGATTAAGTAAAATTAAAAGTCTAAATTAATTGAGTCAATCTCTTTCATTAAACTTTAGTTTATAAATAGTTTTCAAAATATGGTTCTATTTTTTTTTATACATTCCATGTTAATAGTATTATGTATTATCCAAAAAATGAGAATTGATTGAAAATATTAAATCGCTTTCTAACAAAGAACAACTATGAAGATTTTTACGATGATATCTGATCATTAATTCTATAAACTATCATTCAAACTTGTGAAACTCATGCATACCTTACAAGTCTAATTAATATATATATATAATCTATTAATCGATTCAGATTTTATTAAGATGTTCTCTCAAAAAATAAAATCAATTGTTCATTTTTTATTGTGTTTCAAGATGTTCTTATTCTGATTGGTCATCCATTGTGTACCTTTTGTCAACTAGTACATACACAAAGACTTAAATGGATGAACATAAATTTTCAATTTAAATATTTTCTCAATAAAAACAAAACAATAAAGTTTTTTTTTTCTTTTAGCAAACAAATCTTTCTACTGAAGTTCTTATGACACGTACAAATACTAATATTGAAAATTCACCGTCTCGTACATCATCTTCATCGTCATCAGCTATAGCACAATCATCATCAACTGAACCAAAAGATATTATAAATCAAAATGAATTAACAATACAAAAACTTTTACTTGAATTACAAGATGATCTTCAACAAACAAAAGATTGTTATAATGCAAGTCGTGATTCATGGCTTTCAATTGAACAAAAATCTTCAACATTATCGGATGAAAATACAAATTCACAATTATTAAAAACTAATTTTACACAAGCACTTACAAGTGTTCAAAATGAGATAGATATGTATAAAAAAACTTTATCAAAAATTTCTCAAATTCGTCAATTACAAATTGATATTGCTAATGTTACTAAAAATCATACTGATATTAATCGTAGTCATACAACACGAAGAGGTTTAGCTGATCTTCTTTCACATATGGCTTATATTTTAAAAATTTGGTATGGAAATGAATATACAGGAAATTGTTCAAATAAAGTATGTTTAATAAAGATTGATTTTGAAAATTTATTTCAATAGACTTTCAACAGTGGTTAATATAGTAATAACTAATGTTATATTTTATTCGAATTCTTGAAAAAGTTCATAGTGAAAACCAATGAAAGACAAGGTTAAAAATAATGTGGCGTAACGCAAGAGAAAGTGTTAAGCTTTCTCATACTAATCAAAACTATATCATCTAAGCCTCTCCTCCGCTGTCATAAGTCTAGTTATGAGACCAATCTTAATCTGATATAATCATCAGATTATTATGATAAAACATTTTAATTTCATTTTCGCATGAAATTCAGATATGGTAATATACCAAAAACTGATTATCGAAGCGGAATAATAATTTAATGAAAACTCTAACATTGTAAGAAAACAATTCATTCGCAAAAGCCTGCAATAGTAAATTGAATTTATTACGATAATTTGTAATTTTACGCAATATCTTATAAACAACCAAAGAAATTCTTTCTATATATGATGTACTCATTTTTTTTTTAATTCTACTTGGTCGAATATTCTTTGAAATGTATAAAACTTATTTAATATATATAATTATTATTTCAACATTTGTTCTATTAGACTATATGAATGAAATGAAAAGTTAGATTTTATTCAATTGAAATATTTGAATAAAATATCGAAAGTGATTTTTTTCTTTTTTGTAGGGTGATGTTCCACCACCATTATGTAGTGCTATACCAGCTGCATCTAATCATGTATGTAATGTTGGTGATCTTATAGCAGGTTTTGTTGAAAGTGATGACGGTGATGAAAATTGGATATTAGCTGAAGTTGCTTATGTACATCCAAATAAAACAAAATATGATATTGTTGATATTGATCCTGAACCAGGTAAAGGACATTATTATAATATCAATAAACGACATATTATACCATTACCACAATGGCGTGCTTGTCCATTAACATGTCCTCAAGCATTATTCTCACGACGTACTGTTGTACTTGCACTTTATCCTCAAACATCATGTTTTTATAAAGGCATTGTAGAAAGTATACCAAGAATAGGAAAAGATTCTTATAGTATAATATTTGAAGATTCATCTTATAATAGTGGTTATTCACCAGAATTTGATGTACCACAAATGTTTGTTATTGCTTATAAAGATGTAAAAAAATAATTCGTATGTTTTTTAATTTTATGTTATTTGTTGTTGTTTTTTTTGAATAACAAAATTTGAATAGATTAGCATTTTTGTTTTTTGTTTTATTAAACTTTTTAAATTATGAATATTATCGTGAACTGATGTTTTTGTTTTTGGATAATATTACAAATGATATTAGCCATTTCAATCCCAAATGATTTCTGCTGATTCCAATTGAAGTGGACTGTTAGATTAGCTCATTTTACACAGAAACATGTGAACGACTATATATCTCCTTTATAGATAGTTGGAGCGGATTCTGGAACACTCTTTATTACTTCTTTCCAAGAGAATACATACTAATTGATATAAATTATATTATGTAAAATAATTATAAAACAGGTGTAGCTTTTTTAATACTATGGAACTCAAAGGGTTAGAGAATAAGTTGAATACACAAAATTCTTTTTATCTATTTCATGGAGAGATGAACTAATAGTTTGCAGAGTTTTCTCGAAATTAATTATTTGTATAATATATGTGAAAAGTTTAAATATTGTTTTAATTTGATAATATGATAGATTATCTAATGATTCTCAAACAAAAGATAATATTATTTTCTTTCTCTATCTTATATTCATCTTTCGAAATTATTCTCAAGAAAATAACTTTTACCGTCATATTAATGATTGTACTTGTTTTAATTAATAACAATCATTCAATGAGTGCATTTAATTATCAATTTCTAAGCTCTCAAAATAAAAGAAAAAAGAAGATAAGATTAATGTGACATTTATTATCGATTTGCTGACAGGAATTCTTTCTATTCAAATGACTGAATGAAGTATAATGTCATTTTAATCATACGACAGGAAAAACAGTTCGCCTTGAATATCAGAAAGACAAACATATGACGTGCTATTGCTAACTAAAGTTGAAAGAAGATAATTAACATCAATTAATGATGAAAAGTCGTTCGTAAAAAGTTAGATTTATATAATTATGTTTATTATTAAAAATTCTGTGAAAGATTTGCTAGACATAAATAAAAGTCTATTGCTGTTGTTGTTTTTTGTGAATTCAAATTTTATGTATTTTATATTATTTCAAACATTTATATTTAATTTTAACTTAACTAGACATATATTTTTGATATTGGACAATTTTATGATGTCTTCATGCATTTCCGATCTGAAAATGATTTTTCTTTAATAATAATAATATATTTGCATGAAAAAATTTGTCTATTCAAATTATATATTATATATTCATAAACTTTAAGTATCGGTAGATTAATCTTTTGAAAAGAGGTTTTTTAAGATGGTTTGAGCTAATAAAGCTGCTTTCAGGTATGTATTAAATGAAGAGAGAAAATTAGTTGATCTTCAAGTGTATAAGGGTTAATAAAATATGCAAATGGTTTGTGGAAAGAAAAACAAATGCATTATTATTTATTAAAAACTTGTATTAATATATGAATAAAATCTTATATATTGTTCTAGACTTGAACGGGAAAGTAAAATGAACAATGTTAAAAAAAGAAAATTATTGCAAATTGAATGTATATGTAAAAAAGAATTATATTGAACGGCTGTTACGTTTATAACTAATGGAAAAATGTTTCAAATAATTATGATAAAAGCAAGAAGATGAAGAAGAATAGAAAAACGTACTCGTTCCTTTTTCTTTCTGAAGAAAAATTTCCTGGTTCTGTTTTGTTTCAGGCAAACAGTGAACCAATTATAGCAAATTCAATTTGAGAAAAAAAGGGAAGTAGACAAAAGATAATAAAGATAATAGAAAAATTTATCTGATTCAATCTCAAATCGTTCCGATTGTAGTTTATTCATTTTATCATCAAACAATTCTTTTTCATCAACTAACATTTGTCATAGTTCAAGTGACGACAACCATGATGATGACAAAAATATCATCATAAGTTATAAATAAAGAATGATTATTATAATAAAAAACAGTAGACTGAATATAAATAAAAAAACCTAAAAATAATCTTTTCATTTGATATTATTCGAATGTAAATATGTGTAAAAAGATATTTCTTTTTTCTTTGTATCGCTGTCAAAATAATTGTGCATTTTATAGCGCATAAATAAAAATTAAATAATGGATCATAGCAGAAACAGAAGAAAAAAACGGAAACACTATTTCTTTTTATACGTGCATCTTGAGGGTGATTCACATCCGTTTAGACACCCATTGGATGAGCTATCATGCAAGAAAGAAAAGCGGAATTGTTTCGGGCTAAGCTATTTTCGCTGTCTAGTAGGATTTTTCTTTATAGTTGACGCTGATTTTTCTATCTAACTATAAGATTTTGCTTCGTTATATGTATGCAATACTGTGTAAGTCAGATGAAAATCGACTCGATGCGTTCGCGTAATGTAAGCATCATGTTTTCCCTCTCTCTCTCTCTCTCTCTGTTCTTTTCGCGTCACTTGGCGAAGAAGAGAAGGGAAGAGAATGAGTTGCAAAAGACTGTCAGTTCTTTCTCTCTCTCTCTCTCTCTCTCTCTCTCTTTCTTTCTTTCTTTCTTTCTCTCTATGTCTCTATGTCTGTCTTATTTATTACTTTTCTCAGAATCTCTTCTCGTGGTTGGTACTACTTATATACCAAAAAAAATAATAACAGAACCTAGTAGAAATTAATCTTTATTTTCTATGTCATATGCATATACCAATTTTACTTATTTCAAGATTTTTTTTTCCTACTTGTTATCTAATGATTCGTTAAATACATATTTGGTAAAATTTAACCTTGAACGGAAGACAAGATAAATGCGTTAGAGCAAAAAAATCTTATGAACTTTCATTTTTGTTCTGTCATCATCGATATTCACGTGTAAAAGAAACAACCACGCAGCATGAACCATCCGATATTAGCACAGGTAAGCATTGCTATTTAATATGATCGTTTTTTTCCCTAATACTTTTAATTGTTGAGTTATTTATAGTATTCTTATTCGTCTTGTCCATTGTCAAATAAACCCATACATGTCCTATTGACATTTAATTATATCTGCATATCGCACAGTACTCTTGAGATAATTTTTGTTCTATGATGACCTTCTATTATATTACTTGAGACATATTGTTTTTCTTTTGTGTTTTTATGGAAAAATAAAAACAAAAAAGAAATTTTATTGGTCTTGTAAAATTGATCTATCATTTTGGTTTTTTCTTTTGTATATTAATATTGATTCACCATTATTTTGAAAAGATGATTATGATATTTATGCCGATCAAAATTTTGTAACTAAACAATAAGAAACCAATTATAGAAGAACGTTATAAAATAAATCAATTTTGAATATGTCATGTCATACAATAAATGTTTAATGTAAATGAATCGATAGATGAACTATGACAAGAGATTAAAAAAAAAAAAGGAAAATCGATGAACAAAATAGATCTAATAGAAGAAAATATTGATGAAGGCCATCATGCACCATATTCGAAAGAATGAATCTTTTTTTACGAGAAATATCTCGAACAAGGATGAGAAAAAGAATAGAAAAAAAAATATGATAATCAATACATATATGTAGGTTTTCTTATTATTTTGATTATTAAAAAAAAAAGTACGAAAAGCAACATGTGGCACAAAACTAAGAGTCGACTTTCTCGCTTACTGTTTCCAGATGACGCTAATTGTGTTAATACCAATTATGAAGTTTTTTTCGTCGATTAGATTTACTTATATTAAAACAAATTTTCTTTCCATTTAGATTGTTCCTCAAGTGGCAGCCATGTCGGATCGAGCAGATAAAATGAAAATGGTTTCTAAATTATCAACATCACCAGGTCAATTTATATTCAAATAGAAAAATAATAAAATATAAAAATAAATAAATATTTTTTTTTTCGGAAAGTTTAGGTGATAGATCAGCATCAAAAATTCAAGCAGCATTTCGTAAACATCAAGCTCGACTTAAACTAAAAAAACAAGCTGCATGGCAAATACATGAAAAACTTGAATATTCTAGTGAACAAACTGAAGCTAAAGTAAAACATAATATGTTTATATTTAATAATTATTATCATTTTTTTTTTATTAGCTCAAAGATATGTTTGAAAAGTTACTTAAAGCATCTGATACACTTTCACCATCTGTGACTAAATTACTTCACAAAGCTGGATTGCCTGTTGGTAAAGCATCATAGAAAATATTTAATTTCATAAAAAATATATATAGAATGAATTTTATTATTTTTTGCTTTGTCTAGAAGAAAAAGAACTTTTAAGATTAACAAATCCAGATAATATTCGAATTGAATCAAACTATCAAGGACCACGTAATGTATTTTAGAAGATTAATTAAATTAAAATAACTTGACTTATTTTGTTTTTCAGATATAGAAGGACCAATTACACGAAAAATATTTGTTGATTTAATTGAAGCTTTTAAACGTGGCCAGGTATGCAGGAACTATTAAATATTTTTCTTTGTCTCATTTACATACGATTATTTATAATTAAAAAAACAAGAGAAAATGAAAAATACCGATAATTATAATAAATAATGTCAAATTATTATTATTATTATTATTATCTTCTTAATCTGTCGTACTTTTCTGAATAATCATTTGAATAATTAGAATAATCATAAGTATTCATGTTGAGATTTAATTAGCATGTGTAGGTATAGTGACATAACCAAAATGTTCACGAGAAGAACAATGATTTCCTGATATTTTTATATATAATTATCATCATCTTAGAATAAATGATGTTATTTTATTTCAATATTTTTTTGTATTAATTGAATATATTGTCAAGAATAATTTTCGTATATTCTTTATTAATTTTATTAATGTTTGTCTTTTCTTTTTCTATCAAGTGTAGTCAACATGAGGGATGTAAATCACCATCTGTCAATTGTTTCGATTGTTGTTTTTCCATTTTCCTATAAAAAAAATTATTTCTGTTTTTTTTTCTCTCACCAGATTTTACATGAAAAATATGTCTGTGAAATTCTTCATCAAGCACGTGCTATTCTTAAAACTTTACCAAATTTTA